CTGAGGACTGAGGATGTATACTGAGGACTAAGGATGTACACTGAGGACTTAGGATGTATACTGAGGACTGAGGATGTATACTGAGGACTGAGGATTTATACTGAGGACTGAGGATTTATACTGAGGACTGAGGATGTATACTGAGGACTAAGGATGTATACTGAGGACTGAGGACTGAGGATGTATACTGAGGACTAACCTCAGGACAGAGGAGGTCAAACATGTTAAAGGGACGGAGGAAAAAATAATGAGCAGGTTAATCCATGATGGAAACTAGTGTGGTACTTAGTAAAGAGTATATCAGAACAGCACAGCATAGTATAGTGAAGTAGTATATGTACAGGTTGTATATGTTGTCAGGTTCTTAAGTGTCCGTGCTGGACGTCCGTGTTTCCGTTGGTTCTGTTGGTTCTGTTTTGGTTTTGTTTGCCTGGAGATGTAAGACTTTTGTTTTGACTGGTGTTAATCCTCAGAGGCATCTGCAACACTAACAAGGTTTTTACTCAACCAGCAATTATTTACTTCAGGATAAATATTTAAGATTCAATCAGTTGAGAGTGAAAAACTAATAAGCGGGCACGGGATCTGAGTTTTGATTTGAAAGGTGTGAGTGTGTGTGTGTGTGTGTGTGTGTGTGGGGGGGGGGGGTTGTACTTTACCTGAGGTACAACCAGAACTTGGTCGTGGCAAAAATAAGCGAAACTTAGCAAAGTGTTAAAGTGGCAAACATTTTTTTGCAACTTATGCAAAAGAGAGTTCATATTATTTCATTTTAAAAAGCCAACACAGTCTACGTACAGTAGTTTTCCAATCGGCCGTCTCTCAGTATAAACAAGGGAAAATCCCATGACTGTTTATAATGAAATAAAATATAATGTTATTTGCGGCCATCATCAAGGCCATCTCAGTGAAGAAAGATAAGACAGCAGCTGTGTGGGGTGGGGAAATACCCATGATGCACTGGGGGTGTTTGTTTGGCACCGATCAAAGGACATTTGGGGCTTTTTTGTTTGGATGTTTTTTGCTGAGCGGCCGTTTGAATTAATTGAGAACGAGAGAGGGGAGGTGTAGTTTGAAGAGGGGTCAGTGTGCGGACAGCGATAGAGAGACGTAACCTCTTTATAAACAGTCACTGGGTGTAACTCAGAGTAGTGAAGCTGCAGATGGAAGCTTTTGGGACTCGGATCTGGAGCAGACTTGAACTTGATCCCAGTTTCTCCTGTCACCTTTTTTTGAATGTAGAATTAGTTTTTTGCACTTTAAATCGTAGCGGGTGGGTCAAGGTTGCATTCTGAAACAAAGTGCAGGGGACGTTTTCCCTGGTTTGCTTCTATAAATCATGTCCCTGAGCAGACTCGTGTGTTGGAGACTGCAGACTGCCTCGTCGCTTGTGGAGTAATCAGGTCATCTTTGTCATAAATAAATAAATAAATAATAATAAATAAACCTTTTTCAGACATGAGCTCCAGAAAAAGTCCAGAAAATTCACAAAGAGAGAATCGCAGCGGGAGGTTGTTTGACGTATAAGACGTGTTTGAGGTATTTTCAGTTCGTGCCTCAGTGGTAAACAAACCGACCAACAATTTAATAACGTGCTCGGAGCCGCGCCCTGACTGTGGTTAAAAAATAAAAAATCCAATTAAAGTGGCTCTTGTGACACCTTTAATCCAACCATAGTGTATAATGATAACACAACCACACACAACCACACACACACACAAACATCTGTTTACCATGTGGCTTTATTGTGGTTTTCATTTTCTACAACACTGATGTGGTAAGCACACTTGAAACAAGAACAGTGAAATACACCAAAAAGTTATTAGATAACAACATCGAGAGAGAGAGACGACGTATGTTTTCCTCCCCTCAGTATTTGATTTATACAGCAGTACTAAACTCAAAGACCCGATCAACAATTTGAATTTAATGGTGCGATGGTGAGTGCGGTGTTATAGAAGCTTTGATATGTGGAGGCACCAGGACTCGGAAACACATTAAACATATGGATATAAGTGCACTTTTAATTAAGCATATATGTTTTTTTGAAATCCACAACTTTGCACACGTTGTTCCCACACTAAATATTCTGGAGATTGTTGCTTGCATATACAGATACACATATCTCATAACAGGAGTAAAAAGCTAGCCTAGCATTCATCTTAGCATCATGTAAACATTTTTTTTTCTTCCACTACTTCAAGTCATAAAACATTGGAGCTGTGTAAAAAGTAAAGGGGAGAAATACTTGTCATTAAAAAATAAGAAAACAAGGCAAATTAAAATTTCTTCAACGTGGATTTCCAATTGTTCGGCACAGCTACTCATTTTGATTTTCTACATCAATTAGCAATTTAAACCAGAGTAAAAAGCTCATCAGTTATTTTATAACTGACATCCAATTTAAAACATTCTCAAGCCAGCGCATTGACATGAACAATATGCAAAAAATAATTATAATAACACAATAATAAACCACCATTTACTTTGTTTTTCCATTCTTTCTCGTCACAGACTATGTTTACATGCACATAGTATTTTGGGTGTTAGCTTGTTCCGGAGATTCTGTGAGTTTTACATCACAATCAACCACAGAGTTTTACAACGGGCACCAATCAGTTATTCTAATGGATGAGAAGGTGTTTTAATATCTTTGGTGATGTCAGCATGTTCCACAAATCATATTCAGTCCATTTAGGTCAGTGGAATCTTTGAAAGTTTGACATTTACATGTTCCCACACATGAAAAAGAGAGATTATTGTTTTGTACATGTAAACATAGCCATGACTTCCACCTCTTCCTCTCTTCACCCTCTCTCTCTCTCTCTCTATGGCTGGCAGTGTACTTCACACAAAATCAAATTTGGCAGATTTGAGAAGTGAGGTTAAGTGGGGTTTTGATGACGCGGGTCGTGAACTTAAGACCTTTTCACTGTCATCTGATTCACCCTCAGTTATAGATTACACCGGCACTTTGGGCCACTTCTTAACAAAACTCACTTCCTTTTATTTTCAGAGCAAACGTCAAACAGAGTTGAACTCAACCAGCAGTGGCACAACTCTACTGTTTGTTCCCGTCACGACTCAACTAACTGGTGCGAAAACCATTAAACAAACACTCGCATTTGCTCACAAAAGCGTATTTGAAAAAACTGTTTGACAGCCTTTTTATTTAAAAATGCCAAATTCAATTTTATCTGGAGCGTCCTGCTGGCCGAACATCCCTTCTCCTCCCTCAAGCACTGACAAACACCAGGCGGGTGGAGTAGATCAGGTCGACCAGGTAGAGGATGAAGTTGACGCCACTGAGCACAGCCACCGCCATGAGCTTATCCCACACACACAGCCCCATAGTGTTGGAGCAAGAGTATGGCCTCTGTTTCGTTCCGCCGTGCTTGGAGTCAAAGTTATAGATGGGCCAGAGGATGGTCGCCACCAGATAGAGAGCCACAGCCAGCAGGGCGTAGGCGGACAGGAAGCGGGCAAACGGGAAGGGCAGGCACCCGGTGCACTCGCCTATGCAGAGCAGGATGATGGCCGCCGACAGGATAAAGCAGATGCAGTAGACGGACATGCAGAACTTGAGGGCGTCATGGCGGTCGTACACCACGGGGTCGCTGACAAAGACGAAGATGATGCAGGCCACGAAGGTCTCGCAGACTTTCAGCAGGCCGGGGGCTGTGGCCATGTAGCCGGCCACCTCGCCTGGACGCGCCTTGCTTATGCTCACTTCGCTAATGTAGGCAACGGTGGCCAGGCAGGAGAAGACGGTCGACACGATGCGGTAGTTACGGACCTCACTGGGGCCCATGGATCCCTTGAGGAAGTAGAGGGGGAAGATGATGGAGGCGGACAGGCAGAGCAGGGCGGCGTAGCAGGCGAACGTGATGGGGAAGTTCTTCCAGGAGACGGGGGCTCTGGTCTGGAGGCCGAACAGCTCCACCAGGATGACGAGCAGAGTCCCAGCGAAGCTGAAGGCCCAGCAGAAGATGCACCAGTCTCCGGTGCCGTGCATGACTCTGCCGCCATGCACGGCCACAGAGAAGGCCACACAGGCGAAGATCAACGCTGCCAACCGTGTCCATAGGAGGGGGCTGGAGTGGAGGGCTATCGCCATGATGGGAGATGCAGTTGGTGACGTGAGAAGCTAAAGATGTTCCTGTTCCTCTTTATTTCCTTTCAGGAGTCACTTCCTCAGATTTGCAGGATCAGCCGCTCAGACAGAACTGCAAGAAGAAACAGGAATAAGAAGAATCAGCAGGCAGTCTTTTAGGGTGGACGCAATTTTTCCTGAACTTTATCTACAACAAACAACCACATGAGGGCAACAGTTTGCGATCCTCCTCAAATATGCAGTGTACTCCTACATACCGTTCAAACAATGCCTTTATTGTACTGCTGTGAATGGCTGAAACAGCTGAAACCAAGAAAACACAATTTCAAACCACAAATAATGACTCCACTGTGATCACACTCTTCACAGCACATTTACATTCGGTCAAATCATCGGGTTGAAACACTCCGGCTCTTTCTCTCAGGCACGTCTGCCTCCCGAGTCCAGACTGCTTCTCTCAACAGCATTCCTGCGCAGTGCAGACGGCTTCACTCCTCCACGCTCATGACCTCGGCGATGGGTGTGGTGCCGCGGCCTCCACCGACCCCCCAATGTGTCCGTCATCGTGCTCTAAAAATGAACCCTCCTCACTCGTTCTGCTCCTGGAGACCTCATCTACACTGCGAAACTGAAATCCTAATGAGACATCTTCCAGTGTGTTACTGGAAACCGACCTGTGAGTCCATTGAACTGGGCAAATGCTTCTGACTAAAGTTGCAGATACAGAGAAAAACAATTTGAGCAATCAGACCAGTTTTAGTGTCGATAATGACGTTCATGCTTCCTTCATTTTCTTCACACTTAAAATCCGGAAGAAAAAAAAACTGCATGTGTCAGACTCAAGTTTTAATTCCTGACATCTTCTCTGAAAAGTCTTAGGTGACCTCATGTTTCGAACGAACCCCGGAGGTGAGCAAGTCAGTTGTGAAGATGTCGCATCCTGCTCTACATGTTGCATAGCAGCGAAGCGTATTTCCAGTTAAGAGTAATTACTCAAACCACAACCTGTTCTGCAGCTGCACTGCCATATATATAAATAACCCCCCCTCACACACTCACACACACACACACACGTTTTGTATATGTTTTCCAAGGAGAAGATTTATGCTTTTGTAAATTAAGGGTGTCTTGTAATCTCATTCAAGGCCTAACAGTCCCTTAATGAACCACATTTAAAATCAGCAGATCTGGATTTTTACCTGCCAGGTCTACACCAGTGGTTCATGAGTTCCTCCCTGATTTATACCTGAATCTAAAGTTCTGTGCTGATCTGCTCAATTCTTTCAGACAGAAAAACAAGAAAAGATTTTCAACCACAAAAGAAAAGTTAACACCCGGAGAAGATGGACTATTTTACAGTGAAGAAACACTCTGACTCTCATCCCCGACACCAATCGCCCACTTGGCTCCTCGCGCACCGTGTGTTCGCAGTTTACTCTGGGAGACAGTTATAAACAAGGAGAAAAGGCCTGTTTACATTAGTCCCATTAGACACCGCCGAGGAGGCTGGGGAGGAGTGGAGGGGTACGAACACAAGGAAGAAGGTATAGAAAGAGGCAGAAAAAGAATGGAAAAAGAAAAACCCTTAGAATCCTGCAGGATGACTCACTCGGAGGGAGGAGGGAGGGCGAGCACAGGAAAGGAGTAAAAAGAGGGAGGAACACGGGGGAAGCCCTGTGCCTTGGCCGCAGAAGGACACAAAGTTTAAACACAGTGATGGAGTGGAATTGCAGGAGTGTGAGTCACCACTGGGCCTCATTCTCTCACCACTCCTCTCTCTGCACCCCCCTTATCCCTTGTAACATTTTCCAACGTGCTGATGTGTTCCAGATGTGCTGCAGTCTGGCTGCTGCTGAACAACTGGTAACTTTGTCACATTTGCCAAGTCCTCTCCTCTGTTTTCCTTCTCTTCCTTCCCTCCTCGCCGTCTCTTTCGGCGACTACTCCCTCTCTTTTCCATCAGTTGTCCTCCTCCTGCTCCTCCTCCCTCCCATGCTCGATACTCCCTCTCCAGCTCTAAAGTCAGGGTACCAATTACGCCTCATGTAAACCACTCAAAATAAACGTAAACGGAGGGTCGTAATGGAAAAATCAATCCCGCCATTACTTCGCTGCTCATGGAATCAAGTCAGGAAAGAAATGGGCGAGGAAAATGGCAGAGGAAATAAAAAAAGGGAGACGGAAAAGAAACAAGAGCTCGGTGTGGAGGGGGGGAAAGTGTCTTTTAACAGCACAGCATGGAAAACAGGACGGGATCACACTAACAGGAGGTACTTCTCCGAATGGAAGAGGTGCTGAAAATAGGTTCACACATGAGGCCTTCAGCAGGACAGCAAAGAGGATGTGACACCAGCGTGCTCCAGTCCACAGTTACTCAAACAGCAGGGGAGTGTGTTCTCTCTCTCTCACACACACACACACACACACACACACACTTCATGAGGCCCGAGATGTGCAGGAAACAAGTGCTTGTCTCAGGCTGAGAGGTCCTGAACGCAGCTTGTTTGGTTGTCATGATGACAACAACATCTAACTCAATTTCACCCATAATCCACTTACCAGGGGATCCATGGGTCGAAAGCACAAGACGAGCTCTGTTGGCAAAACCCTCTGTGTGTGTAGCATGAGTGACTCAGTTTATTAAGGTACCATCACTATGTGTTTTTGCAGGCTGTGGCAAAATACAACCATAGCATCCATTTGTGACTCTTTCAGACTGAGAAATACCGAATATTCCTCCTTTTCCCACAGAATATCATCTGTTGCATCCAAGAGAAGGACGTCAAACTACAGCTGCACAAACAGGAGACACTGAATCTGTGATAAAAACTTGGAACGGCTCCTCCAGAACAATGAGGAATTGTATGTTAATGATTGAATCGGGCAAATGAGTGATAGTGAGAGTCCCTATGTGAAGTAGTGGGTTCATTCATTGACAGTCAGGGTGGGTGTGCCGCCTGCCGCACCCTGCTCCCACCACACACACCACACTGCAGCCATCAAAACACAAACACACACACACAAACACACAGGCACACAAACAAACAGGACTTCTCATCAAAGACACAGAGGAGAGAATCCACTTCATGCAGTCGGTGAATAAAATGTAAAAAAAAAAATAAAGTTGAAACTCACTAAAAGAATTATTTTTCTTTCCAAGGAGCTCAAAAAAATAAAAGCACACCTTTATTCAGCATGTGAAAAAAACCAACCCTCCCCAGCTGCTGACTCTGAGAGGATCACACCTTTCACACGAGCTGTGCAGATTCAAGCAAGATGCAACAAGTTGTAGCCGAAGAATGTTCTGGCCAACTTCGTCGACAAGACAAAATAAAACACTTTCCCTTCATTTCCCTTTCAAATGGCCTCATGTTGTGAGTCTCTACAGTGACCGTGTGTTACCTGGAGTTGCTGCTGTTGCTCTCCGGGACGTCCAGGCGGTGGAAAGTCGCAGATTGCGCCTCCTCGGCTCCTTGACTGGATTTACAAGCAGCTCAGGAGGAGCAGATCCCCGCCCAGCAAACCAAATTAGGCGTCAAATGTCTGCACCGTTACATTCTCCTGTGACTTCTCCTCCTCCTCCTCCTCCTCCTCCTCACACAGAGGAGCTGCAGATGTTAACTCCTCCTTCATAATTTTATCTCATGACTCTTTTATTCACTTTCAACAATTTGGAATGAGGGAAATATGATAAATGTGGAGATATGTTTCACTTGTTTTTATGAGGTAGTGTTAACCTCCCTGAATTAATCTGGAATGATGTAATTGGTGATTTATCTTTGTGGAAAAGTTCAAATGGATTTAGAACACGAGCCAATACTTTTAATAATAGTCATAATAGTTTAATAGTTTTGCACATTCCTGAGACAAACGTGATTCAGCAAACATGTCGCGAGACAGAGAGAGAGAGAGAGAGAGAGAGAGAGAGAGAGAGCATCATCTGCCCATAAAAAAAAAATCATCCATCCGCCCATCACGTATTACAGTTTCTACTTTTAGAAACTGTCGTTATTATTTTCTATTATTTAAATCTCTCCCCGTTACTATCGATACAGACCGGATATAAGATAAATATTTGTCCCCTCGCGCCGACATTATTTGTGTGAGTCACTTAGCAACAGCAGCAGTTACCTTGACAACCACTTGTATTTACCGAGAGATCACAAAAATGAAAAATAAAAAAACTTGTCTCAGAGGGAAACGTGCACATTTTAAAATGTTCAAACTACCTCATGGTTCA